ACCATTCGCTTCAAAATAACAGCGCAAATCGAGATAACAAAACATATGTTTTGTGTCCTACTTTGCAGACGAGGACGTGTATCGGCGTTTTGAAAAGCATAATTATGTTCTTTCATTCATTTATTGCCATGGAATATGCGTTTACATTGTTTTTTCACTGTTAATAGCTCGGTTAATGCGGCTGGCGATCATCTTGCCGGCGGAAGTTTCATGGAAAAGGAATAAAATGAAAGACTTTTCCTAAAGACTACGTAGTCAGTCTCTGAGGCGTAATGGTTAGGTGTAGTCGCGTCGGGTCGAAGGTGCCGGGTTCGACTCCTACTGAGTTATTCATTTCTTCTTTCTTTTTTTCCCGTTTTTTGTGTTGTTGTTTTCTATAAATATATAGCTAAATAACTGTTACTTAATAAAGTGCAACAAACAGCAAGAAAAGTATTGTGTTTCCAGAGAAAATATCGTGCACCGTATATTAAATATATGGATAAACGATCTGGATTTCTATTATTTCCTACAATTTACTGTGGGAAAACCAGAGTTGATAACCACTTGATCATTTTCTAAACAACGGTCCCACGAGTTCTTTCTATAGACTGACAGTAATTATTCTAGTACTTTCCAACATGTAAATAGGACATTCAATGTCATTTTTGATTCTTTTAAGTCTCACTGCCTAACTAATGCCAGTATCAACAGAATGTGCCGCAGCATTACTATCTTTTGAATACCCTAGTTTTATTTCCGTCTACGACACGAAGAAGATTCTGAAGAGGGGGAGAGATCGTGCGAGAGTCGTTTGTCACAAAGGCAAGGAAGAGTCATGATGACTTAGTTTTTCTTAGGGAAAATGCTATTATAAGCGCTTAAAACAAAGAGGTTGTACTAACGTCTAACTTTAAGGCCAAAATATATATTCTCTACTCCCAAAAAGCGCTTAGAATAAATGGACTAGAAATTAAAGGGGATATTAATTCTAAGTGAATCAGTCATATGTTAAGGATGTAAATGAAAATCTATTCTGTGTAAAAAGTAGTGGTAGATATCTATAGTGACAGAAACAAGATATCTTATCAGTGGTCTTATCTATATTTTCCTGTGTAGCTTTCCGCAATCGATACTTTCAGGGAGGTCATAATATCATAATTTATTTCTATATTCAAGAGATAACAACAAGTAATTACCCTCCTTTTAATTTAGTGGCTACGACAGATAACATCGGTGGTTAACAAGAGTCTGACAGTGCAGATAGCCGTGTAACTTTCCGATCTTCTTTTAAAAAGTTAGCGGGGGCGATTTGTTGTTTGTTCATCTGAGACGCCCCAGAATTGCGGTCTTTGTACTGTTCGCGTAATTCTTAGTTTCTACGAGCAGCAAGCATTTCTACGGAAAGGCAGCTAACTTATTCCACAAGAGCCCTTTGTTGGCTAATTCATAGCGCTCCGATAGGCCTCTAAAATTTCACTTTTTCCGTTTTATGATCGAGTGCAGTTTTGAGTTTAGTGAGGAAGAGCTCAGTGTGACAACTTTGATTGAGGAGGGTCTTCAATAGGGTCCGATAGGGTTTTTTGGGATCCGGGACTTGCCTCATTTGAAGGCAGGGATTGAGTATTAAACGGGGAACACCGGGGAGCGGGGAACGGAAAAAAATTGAGTCGAGACAGGATTGTAAAACCCTATCGGGACCATGCGCGGATGTAGAGGATGGCCGAGGGGGCGCCCCCACCCCCCCCTTTTTTTCTGTTGATTTTTGTATTATTTTTACAATTACGGCAGCAAAATAAAAGGAATCCATATAGCTAGGAAGTTTCCCGGCCACCCCTATCTGAATTTTCTAGATCCAAACCTGTGGAATGTCATAAGGATGACGTTTTCGCGTCAAATACAAACTTTCCCAGAACCGAAGACTCTTGAACATTTCGTCTGATTTTAGAGCCAAAACAAAACAAAATTTCCGGCAAAAACAATAAAAGTCATAGAAAGTCAACTGAATTATCCCGTTTTTTTTTTCTTTTCGTCCGGAAACTTGACTCAGCTGGCTCATATCAGTATTCCATACAGTTCTGTTCAATTACGCCACATGGCGTGATACAGGAGTGATAGGTTAAACGATTCTTTTCGTATTTCCCCGAGTCACAAGGATATCAAGTATTAAACAATTCATGATCATTTTTCTCCTCTTTCGTCACGAAAATAATGAAACTTTACTGTCGCATGTCAAAGGTTGGAAGTTAGGTACGCTAAAAAAGACAAACCAGAATCTGTAATGTTTCCAGAAACTGAAACTCTGATGATTTATGGCGCCGGGTTTGCTCTGTCATAACCAGCGATAATCACACACTTTTGTACTCATCAGTTCCATTCATGAAAAAGCATAAGTCAGTTTTTTCAAGGCCCTACATGTCTTGTAATGCTACCCTTGAGGTGACAGAATGTTGCAGGACATATAACAGGCTTTGTGCATATGATGTTGACCACACCACGTTTGATAT